AAGCACGTAAAATATATTAGACTTTTAAGTTGTTGAGATAACATATTTATTTTGTACTCAATAGCTTGGTTTAGATTTGCAATTACTTCAGACACAATTTTGATGTCAACAATTGTGTCTTTTATCAAATTGCATTTCCAATTCTCAACTTTTGATTATATTATATTCGTAAGAAATTTGAGAACCTATTCTTTAATAAGTTGTTAGATTAATTAGTTGTGTTTACCTATTCTTATGCTAAGTGGGATATGCTTTGCATAGTGATAGGTAGTGGAGTACTTGATCCTATTTTTTTGCTTTGTTTTAGCCTATAAAAGGCACACTACTCTGGGATGAAATAACATCAGAGAATTCCCTGTGCTTCCTTGTGTTTAATATACTATCAGTATTTCTCTCTTCTTGAGTGCCCATAAAGTGTTTGATAATATTCTTCAAAGGATTTTTCTTTCACATTTGGTATCGGAGCCAGNTTAATTAGTTGTGTTTACCTATTCTTATGCTAAGTGGGATATGCTTTGCATAGTGATAGGTAGTGGAGTACTTGATCCTATTTTTTTGCTTTGTTTTAGCCTATAAAAGGCACACTACTCTGGGATGAAATAACATCAGAGAATTCCCTGTGCTTCCTTGTGTTTAATATACTATCAGTATTTCTCTCTTCTTGAGTGCCCATAAAGTGTTTGATAATATTCTTCAAAGGATTTTTCTTTCACATTTGGTATCGGAGCCAGGTTGATTTAATACAAAAAGAGGAGAACCTGATTCATGGCGTCAGACAGTTTTGTGCATCCCTCAATTCCACGCTTTAATGGTCATTATAACCATTGGAGCATGTTGATGGAAAACTTCCTACGGTCCAAGGAGCTTTGGATCGTGGTTGAATCTGCAGTAGCAGAACCAACCGCAGGAATGACAGCAGATCAACGAGAGAGGCTGGAAGGTCTGAAGCTAAAGGATCTCAAGGCAAAAAACTATCTTTTCCAAGCAATTGACCGGATCATCCTGGAGACTATTCTTAGCAAAGATACCTCCAAACAGATTTGGGATTCAATGAAGAAGAAATTCCAGGGAAATACCAAGACGAAAAGGATGCAACTACAAGCATTACGTTCGGAGTATGAATCACTTCGAATGAAGGAAGGGGAAAAAGCTACTGAGTACATTTCCAGAGTAATGACATTGGTTGGCAGCATACGGAGCTATGGTGACCAGATAAGCGAAAATGTTATTGTTGAGAAAATACTTCGTTCTATGGCACCAAAATACAACTTCATTGTGTGTGCCATAGAGGAAGGAAATGATACATCAACAATGACACTGGATGAACTTGAAAGTTCATTACTCAGTCATGAAAAGAAGATCAATCAACAAGTTAATGAAGGCGAACAAGCATTAAAAGCTTCAACTGATGGTCGTTCTGAAGGTGCTAACAAGCCAAATCATGGATGAGGTAGAGGAAGGGGACCCTCACCGCACCAAAACAATCATGGAAGAGGAAGAGGTCGAGGACGATATCCTTCAAACAACCATGGATCAAGGTTTGTAGATAAATCTGTTGTTGAGTGTTATAGGTGCCACAAGTTTGGACATTTCAAGAATGAGTGTCACACTAACCTCCAGAAAGGCAAAGGAGAGAAGTCAAACTTTGTAGGGACTGAGCAGGAGGAGGAGATCTCTCTTTTGTTGGTGAGCAATGAAAAAGAAGACACCAACAAAAGGCACATGTGGTATCTTGACACTGGTTGTAGCAATCATATGTGTGGGGACAGGTCCGTATTCTCTAGTTTGGATGAAGCCATGGTTTTAAAAGGCGAAAAAGGCGGTCCGCCTTGAGGCGGTAAGGCGCTGAGGCGGTAGTTTTTTGCCCCAGAGCCGTTCGCACCAGATGATATCCGCGAGGCGTACGCCTTGATTTATTGAGGCGGTTCGAGGCGGTAAGGCGCTGAGGCGGAAACGAGGCGTTCGCCTTGAAATATAGTCCGTATAAGCCATATTCTGCCCTTTTGAATTTAAGTTATTGGGCCTTCAAATAATTGGCCCCTTTGAAAAAGTTAGGCAGGAAGCACTACTTAAATATAAATAAATAAAAACTCTTTAAGTTCCAATTTTCCAATCGCACACCTGCGTGGCTGTCCAGCTTCCGATTCTCTCTCTCTCGCCGTCTCTCTCTTTCGCTCTGGCTTCCGGTCGTTTCTCTTTGGTCGCGGCTTTCCCTGTGCAATTTGGCTTCCTATTCTCGTTTCTCTCTTAAGGTACGAATATATGATTTCTTGAAGATTTGTTTTAACTTTTTTTTACTCTGGTAATTTTATTTTCCAAAATTCCAGCAACTTGCATAATTTTAAGTTAGCCAATTTTAAGATTTTTCACTATTAAATTTTAAGTTTTTTCATTGTTAAATTGTTTATATTATAATTTATAATTACTTTAAATTTAATCTTTTACATATAGTTTGTTTTTACATCAACTTTTTTAGTGTTTTGGTTATCATGAATCATGATTATCTTATTGCGTTTTTATTTTGCCCCCCTTTTTTGCTTTAAATGAAAACTTATGTATTACTTAATGACTTATTTGACATAATTATGGATTATGCATTTTGTTTACCTAAAAGTTGTTTTGTTTGTTATTTTTTATCAAGTTGATCTGAGGCTTACGCCTTGTTCCGCCTTGAGGCATTTTCCTCTACCGCCTCGAGGCTAGTTTTCGCCTTTTAAAACCTTGGATGAAGCATATCGAGATATTGTGAAGTTTGGGAACAACTCCAAAGTTGCTGTTATGGGTAAGGGAAAGATAAGTATGAATACCCAAGGTAACTCAAATCACATAATCTCCAATGTTCTTTTTGTTCCTGAACTAAAGACTAATCTACTGAGTATTGGGCAAATGCAAGAAAAGGATTATGAGGTTGTCATTAAAAGGGGAGTGTGTAGGATTCAAGATGACAGATTGGGGCTGATTGCTGAAGCAAAAATGACTCCAAACAGGCTGTTTCCTCTTCATCTTGAGAGGCTAAGTCAGAGGTGTTATTCAACAGTGTCTGATCAAGTGGCATGGCTTTGGCATCACAGGTATGGGCATCTGAATTTTGGTGGTTTGAAAGCTCTCCAACAAAAGAACATGGTGATAGGTCTTCCAAACTTTGATAATCCTTCAAAGGTTTGTGAAGATTGTGTCATTAGCAAACAATATAGAGTTCCATTTCCAAAAGGTGTTTCCCAGAGAGCAAAATGGAAATTGTCCATTCAGATATTTGTGGTCCAATTAATCCTACATCAAATGGAGGAAAGAGGTACTTTATAACCTTTATAGATGATTACAGTAGAAAAATCTGGGTTTATTTTCTACTAGAGAAATCTGAAGCTTTTACTCCTTTTAAGAGTCTCAAAGCACATGTAGAGAAAGAAAGTGGCTACTCAATTAAAGTTCTAAGAACTGACAGAGGAGGAGAGTATTGCTCACATGAATTCGAAAGTTTTTGTGAGCAGAATGGCATCAAAAGGCAGTTGACGGCAGCATATACACCACAACAAAATGGTGTATGCGAGAGGAAGAACCGCACCATCCTTGACATGGTCAGATGCATTTTAAGCAGGAGTGGCATTCCAAGAAGTTTCTCGCCAGAAGCAGTCAACTGGTGCGTTCATATATTGAACAGAAGTCCAACTTTTGTTGTTCAAAATATGACACTAGAAGAAGCATGGAGTGGAAGGAGACCAGCAGTTGATCATTTCAAAATCTTTGGATGCATCGCTTACGCTCATATTCCGGATCAGAAGCGAAAGAAGTTAGATGACAAAGGAGAAAATGTATTTTTCTTGGTGTTAGTGGTAATACAAAAGCCTACAAATTGTATAACCCTAACACTAAGAAAATTGTCATAAGTAGAGATGTAATCTTTGATGAAGAAAAATTCTGGGAATGGAATGAAGGGAACTCTAAACAAGGAGTCCCAGTTGAGTTTGATGAAGAAATAGAGGGTGAGCAACAAGTTCTTCCCAATCAGAACAATACTCCAGTAGAGGAAAATCAATCTTCAAAAGATGACGAGCTCCCTCAACGAACGAGAAAGAGGCCTGCGTGGATGATTGATTATGAAGTCTCTGGAATTGATCAATCTGATCAATCTGATGATAATGAACTCACATATCTTGCTTTGTTTTCAGATTGTGAACCAGTAACTTATAACGATGCCACAACAGATCCAAAATGGAGAAAGGCGATGGATGCAGAGATTGATTCCATTGAAAGAAATAATACTTGGGAGATGGTCGAACTTCCTGAAGGACAGAAACCCATTGATGTAAAATGGGTTTACAAAACCAAACTGAAACAGAATGGAGAAGTTGACAAGTATAAAGCTCGTTTGGTGGCAAAAGGATGCAAACAAGAGTTTGGTGTTGATTATCAAGAAGTATTTGCACCTGTAGCAAGGCATGATACTGTCAGAATGGTAATTTCATTGGCTGCACAGAACGCATGGCCCATTTTTCAGCTTGATGTCAAGTCAGCTTTCTTGCAAGGAGATTTGGAAGAAGAGGTATATATAAATCAACCCCCTGGCTATGTTAAAGTAGACAATGAGCATAAAGTATATAAGTTGAGAAAGGCTCTATACGGCTTAAAACAAGCCCCACGAGCATGGTATAGTCGTATTGAGTCTTATTTTATCAAAGAAGGTTTTCAAAAGTGTCCTTATGAACATACATTGTTCGTAAAATCAAAAGGAAACAAAATGCTCATTGTTTGCTTGGATGTGGATGATTTAATGTATACCGGGAATGACAAGAATATGTTTGACGTTTTCAAGAAGTCGATGATGAAAGAGTTTGACATGTCTGATCTTGGATTGATGCATTATTATCTTGGTATAGAAGTGATGCAATCTGCAGCAGGTATATTTATTTGTCAAAGGAAATATGTGCAAGACATGTTGAAGAAGTTTAAGATGGAAAACTGTAATCCATCGGCTATGCAGCCTTATATTGTGCTGCTATTTAATAGCTCGGGTACCTCAACCTCTTGAGTTAACTTTTGGGGTTGAATTGGGCCCAAGTTTATTAAGTGGAATACATCAAGGAAGCATGACTATCTCTGCTTACTACACAAAACTTAAGAAACATTGGGAAACGCTTCAAGAATTAAGCAGTTTTCCTACATGTGAGTGTGGTAAGGTGAAGGAATGTACCTGTGCCTTCATGGAAAAATGGATTGAAATTGACAACAGAAACAAACTGGAGTTCTTGATGAGATTGAATGATGAATATGATGCAACACGAGGACAGATACTGGGGACAGAACCTCTGCCTTCATTAAGCAAAGCATTCTATATAATCCACCGTATTGAGGCACAGAAAAACATCACCCGTAGCATTCCAGAATCTGGAGCCTTCTTTGTGAACAATGAACTTGGGAGATCATCACAACACAAAGACAGAAGGGAGGACAGAAGGAACAAACCTACAGATAGGAAATTTTGCAAATATTGCAAAAGTGAAGGACATCTTTATGAACAATGCTTTGAGAGGGTAGGATATCCTGACTGGTACAAGGGAAAGAAATATAAGAAGACAGGAAATCAGAGGGTAGCTGCCCATGTCAATCTCCATGAGAGGATAGAAGATTCAGAATGGGACACTCCACTGGAAACCAATGGAAGTCACAACAAGATGGGAGTGGACCAAGAGTTGGTTTCAGCTATATGCAATGAGGTGGTAAAGATGTTCAAAGGAAAGGCTGGAGAACTTAATGACATGAACATGGTTTCTGCCAACTCTGCAGGTATGGTACTTGATCCCTCTTTTGTTCTGAGTAGTTTGAGTATCAACGTGTATGATAGGTGTCACTGGATAGTTGATACAGGAGCCTCTGATCACATGTCACCATGTCTAGCCATTTTCCTTAACGTTGTCCCACTGGCCAAACCCATTTCTGTTACCCTTCCTGATGGTACCACCAGAAATGTCACAAAAACTGGCCAAATAGTCATCAATCATCATCTAACTCTACATAATGTCCTGTATGTCCCAGATTTTAATTTCAATCTGCTTTCTGTTGGCAAAGTTCTCTCCAATAAATCTTGGACAGCTCTTTTCTCACATAACTCATTCATGTTCCAGGACCTTACAACTAAAAGGGCCATGGCTTCTGGAACAGGACACAAGGGTATCTACCTTCTGAAGGCATCCTTTCCTTGTGCTGCCAAGGATGACATATCTTTTCATACTTCAATACTTCATAATTCCAATCCAGCTTGTGTTTCTTCAGTAGTTAAACTTTCGAATAAAGAGTCCTTGTATAGACTTCATGAAAGACTTGGACACACTTCTTTGTCTAAACTTTGTCATCTTGTTGATTGTACTTCATTTTCAAAAAGTGAGTTTGTATGTGATGCATGTTCAATGGCAAAAATGCACAGACTTCCTTTTCCCAAATGCAGTAGTACAGAATCTTTATCACCCTTTTCATTAATTCATGTGGACTTGTGGGGACCTTATAGGACACCCTCCTTAACTGGGGCAAAACTTTTCTTAACCATTGTTGATGATAAGACAAGGGAAACTTGGACTTATCTCTTGCACACTAAAGATCAAATGTGTTCTGTACTACAAACATTTCTTCAATATGTCCAAAACCACCATAGTACCCAACCCAAATTTGTGAGGAGTGATAATGGGACTGAAATCATCAAATCTGAATGTCAAAGGTTATTTTCATCCTTAGGCATCGTTCACCAGAAAAGTATGTCATATACTCCCCAACAAAATGGAGTAGTAGAGAGAAAACACAGGCATCTCCTGGATACTGCCAGAGCTCTCAAAATTCATGCCAATCTCCCTACCATTTTTTGGGGAGATTGCATCCTTGCAGCCACATATCTTATCAACAAAATGCCAATGGCCAAACTATCTTGGAAAACCCCATATGAGTCTCTTTTTGGAACTCCACCTTCTTATGACAACTTAAGAACTATTGGATGCTTGTGTTATGCTAAGAAAAACCCAATATCCACTGACAAATTTGAGCCCAGAGGCAGAAAGTGCATTCTCTTGGGTTATCCCACTGCCCATAAAGGTTATAAGTTGTTTGATCTCCATACCAAAACCACTTTCTTAAGCAGAGATGTGATCTTTCATGAACACATCCTCCCTTACAAGTCCACTCCTTCAAGTCCAGAAGCAACACCTGAGTATTTTTACCCTAGTAACTTCAATGTCACAGATGATGATGCCCTTTCTGATTTTCCTTTGTCATCTCCTCCACAAATTGACTCTTCCTCAAATATTCTTCCTACTGATGGTGTCTCCACTCTTCCAGACTCATCTATTCTTGACATTCATGCCACCACTCAAAACCCCATTCCATCCTCAGTCCCAAAACCAAAGAGGATTTCCAAACCCCCTGCCAAACTGTCTGACTATATTTGTCCCACCATAAAGTCCACATCTTTCTCTCATTGTTCCACAGCTCATCCTCTTTCTCTTGCTGGAATCTCTCCTAGTTTGCCCCCTGGTTTCACCAATTTTCTGGCAAATGTATCAACTGTTCACACACCTCACACTTATGCTCAAGCTAAGCAGGACTCAAAATGGGTCAATGCCATGGCTAAAGAGCTTGATGCACTTGAAACTAATTGTACATGGATATTAACTTCTCTTCCCAAGGGCCAAAAGGCTATTGGCTCCAAATGGGTATACAAAGTTAAATATAACCCTGATGGCACTGTTGAAAGGTACAAAGCTAGGTTGGTTGTCAAGGGCTATAATCAAAAACTTGGCAAGGACTATAAACACACCTTCTCACCAGTTGTTAAACAGCCCACTGTGAGAGTGATACTTGCCTTAGCTGCTGCATTTCAATGGCCCTTATATATGTTAGACGTGAATAATGCATTCTTGCATGGTTATATTGATGAGGATATTTACATGTTGCCTCCAGAGGGTTACACAAAAGCATCTCCTGGACAGGTCTGCCAACTTCAGAAATCATTGTATGGCCTTAAGCAGGCCTCTCGTCAATGGAATTTGGAAGTCAGTCAATTTCTTCTCAGTCTTGGATATGTCCAATCCAAACAAGACTATTCCATGTTCGTAAAGGAGAGTTCTCCTAACTTTACAGTTATACTATTATATGTAGATGATATGTTGCTTACAGGCACATCTCCCTCTAAGATTTCAGCAATCAAAACAGCCCTCCATGACAAGTTCACAATCAAGGATTTAAGGGTTGCCAAATACTTTCTGGGAATGGAAATTCTTCAAACCAATGAAGGCATCCATCTTTCCCAACGCAAATATATCTTGGATATTTTGACTGATGCTGGCCTGACAGGTGCTAAACCTACCTCTTTTCCATTACAACAGAATCTCAAGCTTTCCCTACACTCTGGAGAGATACTTGATGACCCTGGTCCTTACAGACGCCTCGTTGGACGTCTTTTATACCTAGGACTTACAAGGCCAGATATTTCATATGCAGTTCAACACCTCAGTCAATTCCTTTCCACACCCACTACACATCATTTGCAAGCAGCCAATCATGTCTTTCGATATCTTAAAGGAACCATAAATCATGGGTTGTTCTACCCTGTTCAACAGAAGATACCATTGACAGGATTTTCTGATGCTGATTGGGGTTCCTGCCTTATGACACGAAGATCCCTTACTGGCTATTGTATCTTTCTAGGACATGCCTTAGTTTCTTGGAAAACTAAGAAACAACAGACTGTTTCTAGGTCCTCGACTGAAGCAGAATATCAGAGTATGGCAGCCACTACTTGTGAGCTTCTGTGGATGAGTTATCTACTTCATGATCTCCACATTACAGTTCCTTTACCAATCACCATGTTTTGTGACAATAAGGCAGCCCAACAAATCGCAGCTAACCCATGCTATCACGAGCGTACAAAACATTTTGATATAGATTGTCACATCACACTAGACAAGGTTCAAGAAGGTTTCCTTCAAACTGCCCATGCTACACAACATGCAGCTCTATCTTTTCAGTTGGGCCTTCGATCAGCTCCAACGTGAGGGGGGGATGTAGAGATACTTGATGTTTCCCAATGTATTTTGGAAAGTATTTTTCAGTTTGTTAGAAGTTGGTTAGACAGTTATGCATTTTCTGTTTTCTCCATTCCTTTATAAATAGACTTTTCCCCTTTAGAGATGTAATTTTTCAGGGTTGTGCTTAATGAAATTTCATTCTGTTATTCTGTTGCATTCTTGTTCATCTCCGACTCTCCACACATCTAAAACTCCTATGGAAGCAGGTATGAAACTTGTGAAAAATCCGGAAGGAGAGTCTGTTGACAACACTCTTTATAAGCAAATGGTGGGAAGTCTGATGTATGCAACTGCGACAAGACCTGATATCATGTATGCTGTAAGTGTAATCAGCAGGTTCATGGAGCATCCAAAGCAAATTCATCTTACAGTTGCAAAAAGGATTCTCAGATACCTTCAAGGGACTGGGAATTATGGCTTACTGTACAAAAGAGGAGAAAAATCAAGCTTGTATGGATTTACTGATAGTGACTATGCAGGAGATATTGAAGATAGGAAAAGCACGTCTGGCTATGCATTTATGATGGGAGCAACGGTGATTTCTTGGTCATCCAAGAAACAACCCATAGTCACGTTATCAACAACCGAAGCTGAGTTTGTCGCAGCAACAACCTGTGCGTGTCAAGCACTGTGGTTAAGAAGAATACTAGAAGCATGTCATTTTCAACAAGAAGGCCCCACTACTATCTCCTGTGACAATAGTTCAACCATCAAAGTGTCTAAAAATCCAATGTTTCATGGAAGATGCAAACATATTGATGTTAGAAGATTTTTTCTGAGGGATCTGGTTAAAGAAGGAACTATTGAATTGGTGTATTGCAGAAGTGAAGATCAGGTTGCAGACATTTTTACTAAGCCGCTCAAGTTGGAAGCATTTCAGAAATTAAGAGAGCTACTTGGAGTTTGTCTGCAAGAGACTAGCAATAATTAAACTGGCATTTATTAATGTTCAGTTTAAGGGGGAGTTTGTTAGAAAAAGTCAATCATTTTAATTAGTCTTTTAATAAGTTGTTAGATTAATTAGTTGTGTTTACCTATTCTTATGCTAAGTGGGATATGCTTTGCATAGTGATAGGTAGTGGAGTACTTGATCCTATTTTTTTGCTTTGTTTTAGCCTATAAAAGGCACACTACTCTGGGATGAAATAACATCAGAGAATTCCCTCTGCTTCCTTGTGTTTAATATACTATCAGTATTTCTCTCTTCTTGAGTGCCCATAAAGTCTTTGATAATATTCTTCAAAGGGTTTTTCTTTCACAATGGTTATATATTATTTACATACAATATACTATATATTATATAATTTAATATATGTATATCTGTACATACATACTGTAAAATATGTATAGACCTGTTGCTCCTGAAAGAGAAGCTAGATTGTTTCCCTTCGAGAACCGAATGGTGGATTCCGGCATGCTCGGACCATGCAAACTTTAATGGCTTAGTCCCTTTTCTTGTTCTGTCCATCCTTAAGGTAGCTACATTTTGGCGGGAACACTTTTCCTGCCTCTTTTGTGATCCACTAACACTGCTGTTATTATGTGTGTGAGTGTGTCTACCTGTGTGTTCTTTTTTTCTTTTAATTTATAGTTGTGGTGTGTGGTGATGAATGAACACAGCTTTTCATTTTATCAGGTGGCGTTGATTAACTCATAAAAGCAATCATGGGTAAGCATGTTATGCGTTGTTGTTGTTCTTATCATTATTATTGTGTTGTTATCATCATCATCATCATCATCATCATCATTATTATGATAGTTCATATGTATGAGTAGTAATGTGTGAGTAAGATGTTAAATGCTAAACTAATAGTGGACATTTCTTGCTTCCATGTGTTTTCACCTGCTGTTTCTCTTTGCTATTGTGCCTGCAGCCGTGTTTGACTTGTTGGGAGCCCCTATACAGTTGGCCGTGAGGAAATGTGCAGAGAGGTTTCCTTTATTTCAAGAGTACATCACTATAATGGCTAAGGTGATTGATTATTACTTTCTTTGTTCATGGCATCGGTGATTATTTTATTTATTTTGGAAGACTAAAAAAGAAAAGTGTACGTCGATCACGCATTGATCATCGGCTTTTTCATATCTGTCTTCTTCAGCATGCAGAAAGGTCTGAGGATTCGATGATAGGCGCGATGGGCGATGCTGGGGTCCTACTTGCGGTAAGAGTAGAATTTCGTTATCTGTTAGTTTTTATTGGTGAGATGGATGCTGCTAATTAACATACATGCTTCCACCCTCCTGTTGTACATTTTGTTTGTTCATTTAGGGCTATGGTATTTACAAGGTCATTGATTATCGTCATGAGAAAGAATTCTTGAAGCGTTCTGCAGAGAGGGAGAGGAGAATGGAAGAGATGGAGAGGAGAATGGAAGAGAGGTACAGGAGAATGGAATGCTTGAGGGCTGGACGGACCAGTGAATAAGATGTGTGTGCAGTCCGTGCCTTGCTCAAAAACGACTTGTGTTTGTTTGTTTGTTTATTAGACACCCTGGGGATATATCCCTGTCCTCAATATCTATTTCATAAGAGATTGCATGTCATGTATTATGTCTACTGTGTGTGTGTGCGCGCGCGCTAAAGACTTGATTAAAAATGGAGTCTTTTAATAATGTGGCATTAAGGCTTCATCATTTGAGGACAGGGCTTCATCATACGAAGAATGGTTCCATACAGTACAGAAACTCTGTATTGCCGTATTTCAACACTTTATATCCATGCCACAATAAAGAATCAAAAAACCTATAAGAAAAAGATGACGCAGATCACCGTGTTGCAGCTATTTCTCTGTAGGTCTTTTGCGTAGCTTGACTTAGTCCATCTTAAAGTTGTGATTTTTTAGTTCATATTAGTTTTGTACAACAAATGAAAAAAATTGATTAATTTATCTGATTTATTCAAAGATTTATTTTTTGGAGTGTATACCACCTACCATATTGAGGATCTTAGTTCATCATGCTTATAATTGAATGCAATTTTGTTTAATTTAAACTTGCAAAGATTTAGAGGTACTAGAAAAAATTCTTTTTGAACAAGAGCTTTGAATTTAGTCTCCAGAGTGATTTTAAATATATATTCAAAATGAATATTTTTAAAACAAATTAATAATTATTTTCCATATTTTCTTTTCTAATATCACAGATCCAATAAAGAGGATTTCAAAAGACAAATTCCGTTAGAGTGCCATCAAAGTGGAGAGCGGTTGACCAAAAGTTCCTTACATCTACACCTGTGCAAATAAGGATCAGGTTAGGCTACATACAAATTATTAGCTTATTTACATAGGCGGCCCTGGCCCAACCTGAACTTGATGAGCTGAACTCTTTACCCATACCCGCCCACTTTAGCGGGTCAGATTGAAATGCCCAACAAGCCGCCCGGCCCGGATAAATCATCAAGAAAATCTTTTGTACAAAAAATTTAAAAAAACATTAAACTCTTTCTTCAATATTTTTTAAAATAAAATCACCAGTCACCATATTTACATAAAAAACATAATAGAGATATTATTGTATAATTAATAAACTCATTATATTGATTTATTAGAAGACAATTGATTTTTGTTTAAGAGAGGTTAGTGAATTAAACTATTATACATGAATAATAGAAAATTTTAAAATCTATATTGGCTAGGTAATTTACAATAAAGTAAATGTAATTGATTAATATGGGCAGGATTGTTAGCCCAAATGGGCTAACAGTAACTTCCAGATCTGCCTATATACAATTCGGGCTTGGGCTAAAAGTAACTTCCAGATCTGCCTAGATACTCTTAAAAGTAACTTTAAGAGTGTGGGTATTATTAGCCTTAAACTAATTATAATTTAAGATTTTGGTTAATAAGACTGAATCTAGTGCTTTAGATTGTGAGATTTAAAGGTCAGGATTATATCAAAATTAGGTGCACTAAAATGGTTTGAAAATGCATCATGTCGAAATGATAACAATAATGCTCTTAGCTTTTCTTATTCTAAGGCAAGATCATAACAACATTAGTATCATTAGGTAGATCTTGTATAAACGAGACATAAAATCAAAATTATATACTCCGTATATTACAGTATTAGTATCATTAGGTAGATCTTGTATAACATTTACTGTTAAATGATTTATACATTTTACTGTTAAAAATTTATGAGAACTTTTATTTATTTGTATGTTTTTATTGACTATTTGATGAAATAAAGTATTCTTGTCACCTGTTATTTTGTAGAACTTTTTAAATATGTAAAATTTAGTTTTTATTTATGTATCAATCTTTAAATAGAATAAATTGAAAAAATTTAAAATTTTACTTCGTTTTACGCAATACTCCCTCCGCCTCCAATTTGATTACAATTTTTTTCTCTCTTCTCGATAACTTTTGTTTGTTTACGCGATTTCACTAAATATTTGATAAAATAAAATATTTTTATTACATCTTGTTTTGTAGAACTTTCAACCTAGTTTTTCAAAATGTAATTTTTATTTCTTATTGATATACCTATTTATAAATAAAATAATTTCAAAAAGTGAGATATTTCTCCTCGTAATCCCTATTTGTAATCAAATTGGGGAAGGAGAGAGTAGATAGGAGTTCCCTTCATCATGCTCTGACCGATTTGATTGACCATTGAAAGTAAAAAAAAAAAGAGTTTCGCCTGTACGAATTTCCCTATGAGGAATATAAGCTTCCGTTTCAAGAATTTAATTTTATGCTTTGTCCAGGTGAGGGAAACCACCCGTGTTTGCTTGGGCGATTTTAGTAATCTACTCCCTCCGTCTCAAAAAATTTTACACATTTTGACTAAAGTTGAAATTAAGGAATAGATAATTTTGTGTTGACTTTCCAAAAATACCATTGATGTGATGGGTAAAAGTAGGATGTGATGTGTAGATTATTAGGAAAAAGGTATGATGTGATAAGTAGGATTTGGAAAAATAAGGGGTAAAAGTGGTTTTTTAATAGAAATAGGTAAGAGATTGTGGGATGCAATTTTTTTGAAAGATGTAAATCTTTTTGAGACGGAGGGAGTATTCAATTGGGATTTGGGAGGGTGTATATATACGTAGGCCCCATCCTCACACGCTTAGAGCTCCAAAAAATTTTAGGGCTAATAAAAAATGTACACCATGGTGGCCTACTAATTAAACCATTTCGTGTAACTATAATTTGATTTATTCGGATTTACAATTAATGATTCTAACACATTTAAATCCACATTATAATTGTAATTTTTATGATTTTAACGCGGTCATCATTCTTTCGCGGCTCTATCCCTAAAAACATTTCGGTCATGTTTTGATTTTAAAGAGGAGAAGTTTTAGATGTTTGATGAATGTAAATAACGACAATTGATATGAGTAGGATTTGAGAAATATCGGTTTCAGAATAGGGAAGATGTAGAAGAGAATTGTGAGAAATTAGGTTAGATTTAGAAAAAATGACGACATTAATGTCCATTTAAGATAAGGAAAACAAGTTTTTGGGACAAGTGTGAAAAAATAAAAAAATAAAAGTTTTTAGTGAAATTTGCACTAAATAGTACTAAAACATATTGCATTTCCCAATGTAGTAATGTAGTGCTTAAACATTTTTATTTCTTAAATAGTATTTGAATAAAAATGTCTAGTGGCGGAAATAATATCCAGTGATGGTGGACATTTAGTTTGAACAATGTCCAGTGGCGGTGGACATTTAACTGAACAATGACTAGTGGTACTGCATTGGAAAATAAAAACATACTCCCTCCGTTCCACAAAATCCTTCCGGTTTTGACTTTGAGAAAAAATAAAGAAAGTGTAATTTTGGTTGACTTTCCAATTTTGCCCCTGATGTGATGGGAAAAAGTAAGATGAGATAGTTTGCTTATTAGTGAAAAAATATGATGTGATAGGTAGAGTATGAAAAAGTAGGGGTAAAAGTGGTTTTTTAATAGAAAGTGGAAGTGTTTTGTGGAAATAAAAAAAAACGAAAGAGAATGGATTTTGTGGAACGGAGGGAGTATGATACTACATTGGAAAAATTATTACTCCCTCCGTCCCAAAATATTTGTCACACTTACTTTTTCAGCAGTCGCGAGAACTTTTGTTTATTTCTACGTTTTCATTGGTTATTTGATAAAATAAAATATTATTGACATCTCTTATTTCGAATAACTTTTCATGCAGTTTTTTGATATGTAAATTTTATTTTTTATTTCTATACAAATATGTAAATAAAATGAATTGAAAGAGCTTGATATTTTAACTCGAGAATACAAGTGTAACATATATTTAGAGACGGAGGGAGTATATTTTAGTACTGCGTACTATTTAGTTAAATTTTCCAAGTTTTTAATTGGACCAAAAATCAAATTGTTGAAGACCATATATTATTGTAAAATGGTAGGAGTACATACCACCCACTGCTAGATATGTAGACCTTTTAGGTAGTGTTGGAGTAAAAAAGGTTAGGGCAATGCTAGGGGTACACCAACATGGGGTACCCCAAGTGTACACCAAGCCAACACAGACACACACAGACACAAAATGTCTGTGCAACACAGACACTTTGTGTCTGTGTGTATCTGTGTTGGCTTTGGTGTATACTTGGGGTACCCCATGTTGGTGTACCCCTAGCTTAATTCAAAAAGTTATATAGTGGAATAAAAGAGAATAGCCAAAACTAATATTGATTGTCACGTTGAAATTGAAGATTCTTTGTCTGGGGTCTAAATTGAATCATATGCATGGTTGAAATCTCCTCCCTACGCACTGTGAAGTGTGAACTGTCCCCTTATATTTATTTACTTTAATTTCAATTTTATAATCAAATTTAATAAAATTTGACTCTTATTTTATCAAATTCACAGGATTTAATTATTTGTAAAATACCTTTACAGATTATTTTATCTTAATTTTTTTAATATTATTTTATGCAGTATGCCAGTATTGGATAACCCTGACTTTCGTTGTCGTAGTCTACAATATTTTGACTTAAATTATTTTCCACTTAATTTATTTGTGAAGTGTAGTCGAATTTAAAACTAAAATTAATACTGAGTATATATTTAAAGATTAATTAAAAGATTCTACAATGTAATTAAACTATAAACTATTTTCTTAGTCTACAATTACAAGTTTGAGTTTTTTGTTGTGTCAGTTCATTAGTTAATACTCCTTCCGTCCCATGAAACATGTGACTTTTGCTTTTTAGGAGGGATTTAAGGGGAGTGTATTTTGGTATTGAATTTCCAAAAATGTCCATTGAGAGCTAGCTAGCTTTATAATATTAGAACCTAGTTAATTAATCAAGAGGTTTGAACCTCACGGTCACCGGATTTAAAAAAATAAATGCTCACGTATGTGCAAGGCTCAAGCTAAAAAAGATCTCGTATGCATGTGAAGAGCATGTTAGAGTATCAACTTTTCCCTGGACCTAAAATTCCAAGTTTGAGCTTTTGCTTGATTTTATTTCTTGACACAACAAAAATGTTACATGTTTACATTATTATTTAAACTTAATTATCTATTTAGAAGTGAAAGGAAAGTTAGCAAAAAATAAATAAATTTTGAACATATAAATAGTGTGTATGCAATATAATATTTGGGACAGAAGATTAAGAAAGTAAGTTATATAGTGGGGAA